CTTCAGCCGGGTCGCGGAGCGTGAAGGGGCGTTTCCATTGGTCGCGTGAGATTGCGAACGCTGCCGAGGCAGACGTCCATTTGTTAGGCACCTGGTCGCGCTTACGAGGCGACGTGGCAAACTGATGGGCCGTGGGCCAAATCGGCTTATTGGATTGAGTCATAAGCAATGCCCCAGTGCAGAACCTAAAACAATGAACAGGCGGTTGCAGCGAGTGAATTTGAGACACGCTAACAGCGGGCTAAAGCGTGTTTCTGTCATGGCTTATCAGCACATCCCTGATTTAGATCGCTTCAATCGAATGTCGGAGGGCAGTACTCTACCGGTAGTGGGCAGATTGTACAGCACGACTCAACATGCCACGGTGGATTACCGGTGTCGTCGACCTCACACGCGCCACGGACTCAGGGATGGGGGGGGGGGGGGGGCGGGCGCCGACCGGCGAGCGTCGCAGTGAAACGCGTCCACCGCCGCCCGGTGAATGGACGCCGCGCTGGCCGGCCGGACCCCGAGCGGGCCGGACCAGGCCACCCCGGTGAAACCGTCATGGCCTGCACGGCGCAACAGACGAGCCGGGCGGCCCGGAACCGGACGGCGCGGGCGGCGGCCGGCAACGGCGCGGCCGCGCCCCCGGCGGCGAGACCGGCCCGTCAGGGCGAAGGTCGGTCGGCCGGCCGGACGGGGGCGGCGCTCTCCCGCTGCTCTTCGAGCGGGTTACCCAGCGGGCGACCGGGCCGTGGCGACGGAAGGCGCGCGCCCGGCGCCGCCCCGGCACCGCCCAGCGTCGGCCTGCACGTATGAGTGGGTGATTGTTCGGGAGTCTGCCGCGCGGCGGGGGGGGGGGGGGATTGATTGCGGTCCGGCCAGCTGTCTCCCGGCGTCTGGCTAACGCCGGACACGAGCTCGCGCCGCCCGTTATGGTGCCAGCGAGACCGGGGGCGCGTGTCGACCTGTGCGCGTGAGCTTTCTTTTTGAAACCCGTCACCCATACGTCCAAGATGTGCTGACCGGCTGCAGAGGTCGGTGGAAGTGGCGCTCGTTAGAGGTCGATCAAATGTGAAACTTCTGGCGGTGCTGTGTCGGTGTCACTGGGAGAGGGACGGCGCCGCATCGGCGTCATCGGGAGAGGGATGGCGCTGCGTCCGGTGGCGTGGGGGCTGACACGGCGGCCGACTTTGGTCAACGGCGCACTTTCCTCGCGCCGAGATACGAGCGCCGGTCGCCATCGGTGGCGGGCGGACCGCCGGCCGTTTACATATATAATGGCCGCTGCACGCCGCCATGGATCTTGATCAGACGACATCTGGTCACGGGATCGAGCGTGCACGCGGCCGGAGAAACGCCGCCGACCGCGTCGTGGCGCCGGCGCGCTTGAGATGGGTCCGTCGGCTGCCAGCGGACCGACGGAGCGTCACACACACCCGCTGCCCAGTGGCCGACCCCTCGCCGACGCCCGCCGCGGCCGCCGGTCGCCACCGGTCGCCGCCGGTGACCGCTCGGTCAAGGTCGCGGCCGGACGCCGCGGCGGCTCCGGACGACTTTCGCCGCTAGATGCCGGCCGCGCGGTGACGGGGCCGGCGTAATGGCCCGCCGGGCTGGCGGCCGCTGCCCGACGGCCGGCGGCCGCGTGTCGCCGGCTGGGTCGGAGCAGGCGGCGGTGCGGGGGCGCCAATACCACGGAAGGCAACGCGGCGGTTTATTTTAATTGACTACGCCGGCTGGGGATGGACTGGAGGTGGGGTCTTGCGCGGGCGTAGTTATCGTTGGAGTGGGTGCGTCTTGCCGTAGTAACGCTTTGAGGGATCATCTGCTTTTGGGGTTTCCCACATGTGGGATGGGAGGAAGGGGAGGATCGGACTGATGAACGCAGACCGCACTGTGACGCCCTTAGTACTCTGGCAGTCCAGTCTGTCTGCCGCTGACCGACCTGGCTCTCCTCTCAACAACCAGTGACGCCTCGCTGCGCCGTGTCCGAGGCACCTGGGACACGGGGTCCCCAGTGCTAGCGGTGTCTCCACCCACTGTGTCCCAGGCCCCGTCCCCTCCCGCATGCCGAGTGGTTTGTCGCTTCTGTCCGCCTTGTGTCGGCGCGTCCCCTCCAGCCCGCTGCCACCGATCACGCAGTGACGGGGTGGGGGCCGGGGGGTAGGAGGGGAGGGGAGGGGGGGGGGGCACGCCTGTCACCGGCGCGCCGATGGCGGCCGATAGTCGGGAGAGCCCCGCCGGCGGCCAGACGCCGGGGACGGCCGCGCGTCCCGGGTGTCGTTTCATCACGCGTGGGACTCTTGAAAATCCATTATCTCGCCGGAGCCTTCGGCTGTCAGAAATGTGGGATAGTGTGCATACGAAACCGCCAGTCATCTGTCCAATTATGCTCGAGGCGCGCGGGGGCCGTCACGCGCGCGCTGCTCTGCAATGCACCGCGCTGGAAAGCCGGCGGCGGATTCTGTTGCGCGTGTGCAGTCACCTGCCCGTGGCCGCGTCTCTCTTGTTTGGGCCCAGACCCGTGACAGGCGGCTGTGATATGAACATGACGTTCCGCGAGTGTGCCCTGATTCCGAGCACACGCCGCGTGCGAGATAACGCGGTGAGTTTTTGCTTCACGTAGTAATGTAGAGAGCACGGTTTCTCTAAGCGGTTAACCCCTGCGTAGGTATTTCGCGGCGTAATTTCTGTCAACGCGTGCCCCCGTAAGATTTCTGATGCCACGCTGGCATTGGTGCAACAGTAGGTTATCTCCGTTTCGGGGGCGTGAAATGCTGAAGAAAGTGTCTGGCTGTTCTTGGGCCTGAACTGGTGGTAAAGCGATCCATCATAGTTGGATTTGGTCGAAACCGTATCCCGTGGATGAGTTATCTGATCCTTATGCAGTGAAAACGGCGTGCAGTCCTCATGTGGTAAAGCAGTGTACGCCTACATTGCATACGCAATCGGGTAGCACGGCCCGCATTGTGCTCAAACGTAAATAAGATGGCATTCCGGACGATCGTAGGCATCTGATCTATTTGACGTGCTACGTGACATGTTGCGCGTAATAACGATGGTTGTTGCCCCCGTTTTCCACGTTCAGACATGTGTCAGTCTGAACTTCTTTACCGTCGGTAGCTATTTTAACCCGCACGGCTACTTTTTACAATTCTTTGTTGTGCAGCTGGAAGAAACCGTTCGGACTACATGTCTCAGGTTATGTGTTGTGTTGCTCGCTATGCCGGGCTGGTCTGTCGAAGGCTGCTCCGATTGAGCCTCGCGCCAGGAGAGGAGCCTGAGCTGGCATGTAGACGGAGTGACTAGGGGCAGCGTGACGCCTTGCTAAATAAGCTGAGGTGACCCGCCCCGGGAGTCACGTGGTCGAAGCCGGTGACGGCGGGCCGGGGACGCTAGACGGGCAGAGCCGGCAGCGGACCGCTCAGCCGGCCGCCGAGCCGGCCGCCGAGCCGGCAGCCGGCCGCTCAGCCGGCCGCCAAGCCGACAGCGGGCCGCTCAGCCGGCCGCCGAGCCGACAGCGGGCCACTCAGCCGGCTGCCGAGCCGTTGTATGAGCTCTGGGCGGACGGCGACAGAGGCCGTGCCAGTCCGCCGCCCTGCGACGGCGAGCCGACACCGACGGCCGGCCGCCGTACCCGCGGCCGCTCCGCCCCTCACATCATCTCCCGCGCCCGCGTACGCCGCCGTGCGCCCACCCACGGCGGCGCGCTGCACGCCGAGCCCGGACGGACGGTAAACACCGGAACCGATCGTCACGTCCCATCCGAGAACACACGACGCGCGGTGAGCAGGCGACGCCGGCAGAAGAAAGCCTGACGCGGCGCGGCACGACGGTAGCGGGAGCGGCGCCGACCAGCACGGAGGCCGCGGCGATCGCCGCCCTAATAATGCGGCGGCGCGCCCGGAAAGGGATTTCGGCGCCAATTGGGCAGTCGTCGAGGTGTTTTCGGCGGATTGTTATCCACTGACTGGTTTTCTTTTTGCGGTTGGTGGGTGGCGGGTGGGACCGAATTGTGTTTACCGCCTGTGTCGGCAGATGTACCGACGGCGTACGCGCGTGCGTTTGCCGTGTGGGTATTTGCCGGTTTTGTGTAATATGCACTTGCGATGTCAGTGGTATGTTCGTTGGCATAATTGCCTTTCCGTGCGCGACGCTAGCATGCAACGATTCGACACCCCTTACGTGCATTTATGTTCCATATTTACTTGTCTGGTGCTTGCCCAGCGAAACAGGACGCAGGAGCTTATTGGGTACTACGCGCTCTCATGGAATAGAGCACATCGAAGCAATGACGTCCGCTGACAACATCGCCAATCGTTATACCGCCAAGCTGAAGGGATTGTTTCCCTTGATGCCTTTCCAATGCTCTGTACAACTGGGATGAATCGTTTTGTCACGGCGCTCAGCGATCAGGCAATTACGCTCCGCTAAATGCTACAGCACCTCAAACCAAACATCGCTTGTCATGGTGTTGTGGCACCGCCGCGTGTAATGGCTGATTAGAACACGGTCGGGCGGAGCCGACATTTAACCGGCTTCTGTCGCCGCACTCGACCGTTTTGTTGCAGGGCCAAAAGGCTGGGAGGCAATTTAAGTGATTGGCGGGGATGCGTGTTAACGGACTGGCGAAAAGCAACGGCAGCCTGACAAGGCCTGCTACCCGCCGAACGAATGGTGTCAAGCACACGCCGTTGCGTAAGGCGGGCGCTGGACTTCAAGGCGGCGGCTCGTATTCAGGGGAACAGGTGCGGTCAAGAAGGCGATGTGCGACTGATTGGCAGCAAGGCCGGCGGCCGTCGACGGTGTGAAGTGACTACTGTTTCACCACGCCACCCGACACCGCCCGTTGCCACCACCGCCACCGCTGCAGCCCCGCCCGCCTGACACCTAGCGTGCTACGAAACCGAGTGGACTAGGGAGCAGCGTTGAGGCAAGGGCGCCTGGCGCCTGTTGGAGGGGGCTTCGCAGGCTGCAGCCGTGCCGGGCGTCCCTCTCGGACGGAGGAGCGGACTCACCTCTCCCCGGAGAACTGAGCGGGCGCCGCGCTCTGGTCACGTCGACGGCGCCAGGCCTCCTGGCTGACGGTGGGCGACGCCAGCCAGCAAGCGCACGCACAAAACACGAGCAGTCGCTGCATGGCGGGAGCGCTCAGCGCATGCCGCGCGGCGCCGGTCTGTCCTGCGCGTGTCGTCGGCTGCCGGGCGGTCCGACCGGGCTCGGTGCCCGCGGCTTCCGCTGTCAAGTCACTGGCGCCGATGTGGCGGCAGCTGCCGAGATCGGCGGCTGCGATGGACCGACGGCTCGGCGGTGATGCGGTCGGTAGCAACTGTCGTCGCTCGTCTGGCGCCCTGTGAGGCCGGAGAGCGGGCGGCGGGCGTAGCGGCGCGGCGGCGCTGTCCGTACAACTGGCGGCGGGCGGCGACGGCGCGCTGACCTCGCCGCCGCGCCGCCGCCGGCCGCTCGGGTCGCGGCGCGTGCGCGTCGGCCGCCCGCCCGGCCGGCCGGCCGGCCGCGCAGGACTTTTCACTCGGGCCGCCCGCGGCCGCCCGGTCAGGCCGCGGATGTCCGGCCGCCGCCGCCGCCGGCGGTGGCCACCGTCGGGCTGACTCACGCACACCGCTGACTCACCCTGTCGGCGGCCGCTGACCTCATCGGTGACGACTGTGACCCCGGCACACGCTGAGGTCTGTTGCGTCATTGGGACCAGTCTTCACGCGGCTTAGAATATTGGTACGGTCGCCAGTTGAGTGCTGGTGTCAGGGCCGCAGCTATAGGTACGGTCTGCAGTTCGTTTTGCCAGACTGACATTGTTTTAGAGACATTTTTGGGGTAAGTATAAAAAGATGGAGTGGCTGCACTGTTGGGCTGTCAAAATTAGCTTAGGAAGATTGAATAAGAAGAAAGGTGGTCTATTTTGGCGTGGTCTTTACGTGCACGGGTAATATGTGTTATCACCACATGCGTGTGCATGTGGAGATGATTGTTTTCCAACGATAGCGGGGTGATGACCACTTTGTCTTCGTGTGGTTAATTACCGCAGTCTCGGGATGAATAGTTCGAGGTTCTGCTGGCTCAGATCTTGCCTTAGCCCGCACGGGGTAGTCGTAATTTGGAGGTGACATGAAACTTAATGAAAACATTCTCTTTTGGCATTGTCGTCAAATACAATAATCATTCATCACGCAAAATCCACACTTGTTTCCACTCATTGCTGGGATTATCTGACTGCGGCTGCGTGATTCAGTGACGCGTCGCCGGGCGGGGAGCGATGGTCCGCTAAACAGCAGCCACGATCCCGTCCGCCACCAATGTCAGGCCTTTTGAGTACTGCCTGGCTGCGGCTGCCGCCTCTCACGGGCTGAATGAGCCGAGTGTTTGTTGGTTTGTGTCGGACGGCCGGGGCGCGACAGGACGGAGAGTGGCCGGTTTTGCCGCCAAAACTGCGGCTGCGGAGCCCCCGTAACTGGTTGTCGCCGTCAAGTGCAGTGGAGCGTGGTGAAGGGGCCATGTATGGTCTGTTAGTAAGCTCTGGACGGTCGTGTTGGAGGAATGCAGCGGTGCCTGGCAAGGTCGTCGCGGGAGTAAACAAACGGGTTGCACTGAATCCTGGACTGTTGCCACTGCGTCTAGACTGCTTCATGAGGCTGGACTGTTGCGATGAGACGCTTAGGCCCACAGTTTTCTCGCTTTCTTTGGTACATGAAGCATAACGAACTTAATTTACGTGTATCGCCTTTTCCGCGACTATTATGCTCAAATGGCTATTTGACCCGCATGCCACCTTTAATATGTGTTTCTTTCTTGTCACTGTTGAAAGAAGGTGGCAATGTGTAAAAAAGGAAATGCGAACTTGGCAAACACTATTAAATTAATCGCATTTCCCAACCACTTTGCAAGGCAATGCCGATACCTGAAGGTTACGGGCGACGTTTACCACGGCGTTTGAGGTCAGTAGGACGAAAAAATAGCCTATGGTCGCGGAGCATGGCAAAGTGGCATGTTCAATGGCCCAATTGTCCACAAAATAAGACTTTCGCCCGCCACCAGAAGGAAACACGCTAGTGGAGGCGTTGCCGGCTGAAAGTGAAGGAGAGAGAGAGAGTAGAGAGGAGAGAGAGAGAGAGAGAGAGAAGAGACGGAGAGAGAGAGAGACGAAGGGAGAGAGAGAGAGAGAGAGAGGGAGAGAGAGCGAGGGAGGGAGAGAGGGAGAGAGAGAGAGAGAGAGAGGAGAGAGAGAGAGAGAGAGCGAGAGAGGGAGAGGAGAGGAGGGAGAGGGAGAGGAGAGGAGAGGAGAGGGAGAGGGAGGGAGGAGAGGGAGAGGGAGAGGGAGAGGGAGAGGGAGAGGGAGAGGGAGAGGGAGAGGGAGAGGAGAGGGGGGAGAGGGAGAGGGAGGGGAGGAGGAGGAGAGGAGAGGGAGAGGGATAGGGAGAGGGAGAGGAGAGGAGAGGGGGGGAGAGGGAGAGGGAGAGGGAGAGGGAGAGGGAGAGGGAGAGGAGAGGGAGAGGGAGAGGAGAGGGAGAGGGAGAGGAGAGGAGAGAGAGAGGGAGAGAGGAGAGAGAGAGAGAGAGAGAAGGAATTGGGTGGTACTGAGAGTATGTTAGGCTCATTCTTTCCACTTAGCGTCACAGGTGCAATGCTCTGTTTTAAGAATGTGCGTAATATAACCTATGGAGCCGGCGCGCCCCAAAATTTCAGTCAACAACAACAAAAGCTACATTTTAAGGGTCTTTTTGGTAGACCCGTTCCGGATCGTCCCGGTGTCGCCGCCCGCGCACGCGAGGCTCCTAGATGGCGTGTCGCCGACGGAGTGTCACATCGGCCAGCTCCGAAATCTCGGCCCTGTGCAAACCTGGCGCAGTTGTGCTGTTTGCCTTCCGCAACCGTTCCGTCCACACACAGAGTCTGTTTCATTGGGTGCTATCTATCCATGGACTCGTGTCGTCTCTGGATTGGGAACAGTTGGTCCCCCACGGTTTGGTGCAAAAGACATTGCCATCTTACCTGTGCATAACATCCTCCAGCCCGTGTATGCAGCGAGTGAAGAATTGTTGGCTTATTATGGCAAGGCGTTTCCTACCGGTGCCCAACGCCACGCTTTGTTTGTGCGGGTAAGTGCCTTCAAACAGTCTGCGGGCTAACCTGTATTTAGAGATCGCTGTTCTCTTCTATTACCGGGCGATACTTAGAGGTGCGTACGCCGTGCATTTAATTCGTTATTTTAACATTAACCAGGAACTCCAGGCGCACCCGCCGGCAGGGAAAGGGCCTTTGATGGGACCGTGGATGTGTCACCCACTCTTCGCCAGTTCGTTTCCAGGCGACCTCGTCTTGAAAGTGGCCGGGTAACCATTTCCGGCGGCTGCGGGCCTCATGGGAACGGCCGGCTCTGTTGTAACCCGGAATGAACGTCATGGCGGGATCCTGAGCACTCGTTTGCTTTATGGTTCGATTTCACGTCTGGGGACCATTCCGTTGTGTCCGGCAAATGTCGAGCCATTCTCGAGGGTGACCCCAGGCTCCGCAGCGCCGTCTGTCCGATTGATCCCAGCGTCTGACGACATTAAGGACTTCACGAGAAGGTGGATAGTGCCGCGATTCACGACACAGTCGTGTGCGTGGGGCTGTGTTGTAGGACGGTGCTTGAGCCGTCACGTTGCAGTCAGAAAAGCATTAGTAATAAATCACGACTGTGATGTAATCGCGTGTTTTAAAGCGGTTTACTATGTGCCGGGCCTGAAAATCGTCTGATGCGTGGCTCGTCAAAACTGTTTGCTCGTTGTCCGATGAGTGTAATAAAAGGCGTCTTTAACGAGGATCCACTCTGAGAGGTGTCCGCTGTTCTCTCCCTCCTCCCCTCATCTAGTGGATTCCACTGTCCTGAAGGGTTTAAATGGGTATCCCACTTTTGCAGCATATTTCAAAAGCATACTCTGGTGAGACCTCACGACCAGTTACGTCTAATGATAGCACTAGATAGTGCCACTTCAGCACCATTCATATATTGAGGAGGCTGATTATAATTATTTGGAGCCCAAATTACGCTCTCAACTTTTTCACTGCACCGCGTTTCTTTCTTTGTAGCCCTAGAGTATACCCCTAGTCGCGACAACTGGCGACGGCAGAGTCTGCGGAGGACCACCGCCACCTGTTACCAACTAGAGTTACGTCTTTTGAACTACTTTAGCCCATACATTGCGATCCTGTGGACTTAAAAGGGACGCCTCTACTGTTATGAATGACGCCAGTACAAATGAACGTTTGCGATTGGCACAGCGGGCGGTGAAGGTCATTTACTGAGAAGCCATTGGTTAAACTTCGAACGGATGCTTCACTACAGGCCATGTGCTGTTCTGTTTCCGAAAGCCAAAATGCGCTGTGAAAAACTGCTCTTAGCGCCATAGGGGATAACTAAAAACCGCGGTATATAATGTTTCGTTCAATTCGCGTGATGATGGTCTCGTGTTTGCACATCTTTTCCCTAAATGGAGTGTTCCAAACTTTCGGAAAATTTATGTCACTTTTGGAAAAATAGTGCATGGCAAACATAACAGGACACGCACGCTGGAAGAGTAAAACGAATTAAAATATCTTACTCTCACAGTGATGAGCTTGAAGTCCAATAATATTTTTCCCGTCGAAGCGACTACTTCAACAAGAAAATCTGAGCTATTGAAAAGGATTACGAGAGAACTGGCTTTACCGAGTCAGCCGCGTCTGGTATAACGGTATATAAGAAGCACAAAAAGGTGGCATACTTCCTCTAATTGAAGTCGTGTTCCTCGGCCTACCATCGACAGTCATTCGATCTGCTAGGTAAATGCGTGTTTCAAGTGGGTTTTCCTTAAGCGTTCTCAAATGGAACGAACGTTCGTTAGTAAGAATACAAACAAAAACGCCCGATCCCCCGCTCCAGACCGACGGGAATTGTGCCGCCGGCGGTCATCTCCTGTGGACTGCGTGTGGTCGGTGCGTGGTCACACTGGCCGGCGGCGGGGACTTAGGGTCTCGAGCACTCGCACGGGACGCCACCGTCACACTCACACGCTCACTGACCACCTGAGGTCCACCTGACGGATACCGCAGACGCGAGGGACCGGGACACCGGGGGCACTATAGAGTCGCCCGGCGTGCAGGCGGGGCGAGGCAATGGATGCCCTTGTGCACCGGCCGAGCCGCTCTGAATCCCACGCAAAGCTCCTGTCCACGATACCGAGACCGGATTTTTCGCGGCGTGTGTTTGCAGCAGGATTGTGGAGCCGTGAGTGCTCGTCCTTTTGTCCGATGCTTGGAGTGCCGGCTGTCTTGCGAAGGCGGCTCTGTCCACCGCCGATTACCGAGTCAATGTTTCTGTATTAGACGTGTTTGCCGGAGCCGAAAGCCCTGCTCACATGCTGCGACAGGGGCTGAGCTGACCACGCGATAACGCTGCGCCGCTCGCCGCCGCCGCGCGGCTTAGTGCAAGTGGCCGGGATGTGCAGCGAGCGGGCCACATACCATGTGAAAGCTGACCACGCCGTGATTCGAAGCACGCATTTTATTTTGATGTTCGAGAACTTCTTGCCTTTCGTATGTGATTGTCATAATGTCTTAAGTGTTCCGTTAGCTGTGATAATTGCTCAAGCATGCTATTTGACAGGCTTTGCAGCATTGGC